GCCGGACACCTGCCCCCGGTTGCCCATCCTGTATGAAACCTTGGAGTGGACATGCTGAAATGCAAGCAGCCCGTTTGGGATTCCGGGCGAGGCTTTGTGGAGAGCAGTGGGGGAATGTAGCTTGGGGTCTGCTCAGGGGCTTACCCAACGAGTGGAGAACTGCTCCCCTCAGCTGTTTAATTCTCTGCTCTGAGCCCATCGCTTTCTGAAAAAAATCTCCCCACCACAATGCAGACTCGGCAAAGCAGGGACCTCGTCTGCCGTGAGCCCTCGGCCACCTGGGAAGGGCGGAGCGGGCAGAGCCTCTCCCCACTTGGGCCCCATCTCAGGGCAGGACAGCACCCGGCAGTGGTCACTCCAGGTCTGGAAGGTTGCCAGTGGGCACAGGCAGGGAGGGGGAACACCTGTGGAAGCTCCTGTTCACAGAGACCTCGGGGTCCCTTCCCCATCAGGTGCTGGGCTGCTGGAGGACAAGACCGGGTCTCGCCCCTTTCTGTGCTTTGACACCTGCCCAGTGCCGGCCTGGCACAGAGGCGGCAGACATTAGTTAAGTGAGCTCTGGGCCTGGTGCCTCCTGGGCCTGAGCCTGAGCTCCAGGGTCCCTGGGGTGGGGGCCGTGCATACAGGCTCTCCTCCCACCTTACAGCCCGGCCCCTGAGGGAGGTGTGAGGAGGGAGTGAGGAGGCAGGGAAGGTGGGGCTGTGCGGGCCTCACCTTGGGAACCACGGCTTGTACTCGCTTGATCAAAGTCCTGCAGAGCCAGCAGATGGGGAGGGGGATGGGGAACTTCTGCTCAGCGAGATCCTAGCGGAGAGAATGGCGTGGAAGTTGGGCTGGACACCGGGTTGGGCATCGGAGAAGGCATCCCTCAGGCATCCTCTTTTTCTACCCCTCCTGCCTCAGGCCCTGCCTAGAGCTGCTCATTTCCCTTCCGGTTCTGCCCCCAACCCAGGGCCCAAGGGCTCATAGGACTCGCTGTGTCCCAGCTCTCTCGATGGCCACCAGTGCGGGCCCTTCCTCACCTGCGTCTGAGGCAGTGCCTGGAGGGCCCCAGGCAGCGCGGGAAGGACCAGCTCGGACAGCAGAGGGTCCAGCAGAGGGTCCGGCAGCTCTGGCTCCCGCCCTGGCTCTGGACGCCCAGGTCTGCACAAGCCCAAGTGCTTGCAGATGGCACTGGGGTTCTAGGGAACAATGGAGGGGGAAGGGTTAAGGTGGGGGAGGGAACCCATTCCTGCCCGGCTGGCTCTAGCCTCAGGGACTAGGGCCACTGCCTTTGGGCCTAGAATCGGGGAGGGGGAGCGGGCTGGCTGGGGTTAGGGTTAGAGCTCTGTGGTGGTGGTTGGGGGGCGACATAAGGTGGAGATGGGGCCATGTGGGAACTTCGGGGCGGGTGCCTGGAAATGTGTGTGAATGAGTGTGAGCATGTATGTATGTGAGAATGAATGAGTGTATGTATGTGCATGAGTGTGTGTATGTGTGAGTGTGGGTTTTGTGTGAGATTGAGTGTGTATGTGAGTGTGTGGGCCTGTGGGCCTGTGTTTGTGTGAGGGCATAAGGGTATGTGAGGTGTTTGTTAAAGTGTGAACCCACTGTGTACAGCTGAGCAGATGGGACAGTGAGCTGGGCACCTGGCTGAGGGGCATTGTTTTTCCTGGGCCAGGTGGGCAGGGTCTGTTTGTGTGGTGTGTGTGGTGGGTGGGGTGCTGTGTGGGCATCTCTGGGCGGGTGGGCAGGGTCTGTGTGTGTGGTGTGTCTGTGGTGTGTGTGGCGGGTGGACAAGGTCTGTGTGTGTGGTGGGTGGGGTGCTGTGTGGGCATCGCTGGGCGGGTGGGCAGGGTCTGTGTGTGTGGTGTGTGTGGTGGGTGTGGTGAGTGGGGTGCTGTGTGGGCATCCCTGGACTAGGTGGGCAGGGTCTGTGTGTGTGGTGTGTGTGGCAGGTGGGCAGGGTCTGTGTGTGTGGTGTGTGTGGCGGGTGGGGTGCTGTGTGGGCGTCGCTGGGCAGTGGGCGGCGGGTGGGCAGGGTCTGTGTGTGTGGTGTGTGTGGCGGGTGGGGTGCTGTGTGGGCATCCCTGGACTAGGTGGGCAGGGTCTGTGTGTGTGGTGTGTGTGGCAGGTGGGCAGGGTCTGTGTGTGTGGTGTGTGTGGCGGGTGGGGTGCTGTGTGGGCGTCGCTGGGCGGTGGGCGGCGGGTGGGCAGGGTCTGTGTGTGTGGTGTGTGTGGCGGGTGGGGTGCTGTGTGGGCATCGCTGGGCGGTGGGCGGCGGGTGGGCAGGGTCTGTGTGTGTGGTGAATGGGGGTGATGTGTGTGGCAGGTGAGCAGGGTCTGTGTGTGTGGTGTGTGTGGCGGGGTGGGGTGCTGTGTGGGCATCGCTGGGCGGTGGGCGGCGGGTGGGCAGCCCTCACGATCTGGCTCTGGAAGTAGTCGAGGACCAGCGGGAAGTAGGCGTCGAGCACTTGGCGGCACTTGGGCACCAGCAGCTTCAGGGGCAGGACATCACACTCCTGCTCCAGGAACTTCCGCATCGCGTCCTGGGAGGCAGGCGGGAGCCACAGGGATGGAGAGGGGACAGTCAGCCGGCCCCCCGCGGTCAGCCTCTGCACACAGGGCACCACTGGCAGACTGGCCACCCTTTCCTCAGGGCACCGGAGTTCGAGAGGGCCGAGGGGTTAAGTAGCTGGGCCCCTTCTCCCTCCGGAACAACCATCTCTGGCTGAGCTCGCTCCCAGAGCCCTCTCCTGGCCAGCAGGTGCCCGGAGCCCCAGGCGACCGCAGGGCTCACCCTCGGCCTGGAAATGGGCCCTTTAAGAGGCGAACCTCTTCTTCCTGCTCTGTCCCCACCTGTTGGCCCCCAACCTTCATCCAGGGTCTGGGCCTTGTCACCTGGAAAATGTCCTCCTTGGTCATCTTGATGAGGATGAGGACGATGTCACTGCATTCCTGGCACAGGTCATCCTGGGGACGGGGACCCCAAGGTGGGGACATGAGTGAGGGGCATGTCCCCAGCTCAAGTAGGTGAGGCTCTCTCAGGCAGAGGATGACAGGCAACTACCCACCATCGCATCCCACCCCATTCATCCACCCCATCCCATCCCATCCCATCCCACCCCCTAGGGGGGCTCCAGTCCCCCAAACTTATCCAGAGTCTATGCAGCACCCTCTCTCCAGACGGCCAGCCCCGTGCACCCTTGGGTGGTACTCACGGCCTCCGCATGTCCCCAGACCTCCTGCAGGCAGTGCCCCAGCGCTCGGCACTGCAATGCTTGCTCCAGGCTTTGGCACCAAAACTCGGGGCCCCGGGCACAGGCCAGGGAGGAGGTGGTCCCTACAGCTTCTGTTTGGGGCCAGAGCAACCTTGGGATCCAAGCCACACCTGCCACCCTAACCTCGCCAACCTCCAAGCCCAGTTCTATTGGTAACACGTGGCCGTTAGACGCGCTGGAGTCAGACAGCTCTGCGTTCCACCAGCCTAGAGCCGGGCAGATGTGATGTTGGACAGGCCTTGGGGCCTCTCTGAGCCTCAGCTTCCCCATCTTTACAATGAGGGTAACACCCAGACTAGGGAAACGCCTGGCCCAGAGCCAGAGCTCAGTCAGCGTGAAGATGGCCTTGAAGCCCCTCAACACCTGGCCCCGGGGGAGAGCGGTGAGAAGCTGGGAGACTCACCAGCACCTGGGCCCCAGAGTGTGGGCAGCAGCAGCAGCCACAGCAGCGGGCGAGACGTGGCCATGGCACCTCCACAGCCTGGACGCTCTGCCCGAGGTGGGGCCTTATAGCTGCGGGCGGGGATGTGGGGCCAGGGCCGTGTGGAGCAGGGGTGACCTCAATGTTTGCCTTTGTCCTGGAGAGCCCTTCAGGTGCTTGGATCCCACCTTTTCCCAGCAGCGACACTCCTGCTTGCCTCCCTCCCCGTTTCTTCCCTCTCTCCCCCTCCCCCGCCTCCACCTGCTGCCTGTTCCTGCTGCCTTTGCCTCCTGCTCTCACACCCATGGGCCTGGACACCTGGCTTCCTCCAACCAGGGGGCTCTTGAGCCTCCACATCTGGCCCCATCTCGCTGAGCTACGGGAGAGAAACTGAGGCCAGGCCAGGGCCGCCAGAGTGACCCCTCCCGTCTCTACCCCAGGCCTCTTGGGCTCCCTCTGCTCTTGAGCAATGCTCTTCAGAGCTTCCTGCCTGGCTCTTGACCCAGGGCAAGCACCGGAGGGGCAAGCCGGACCCTCCTGGGCCACGTGCCCCCACACCGCCCTGACCTTTCCCCCAGGAAACTCCTCTGTTTCTGTGACACATGGTTGGCTTTAGTCAGAAGTGTTTACATGAAACAAAGAGGAAACGGAGGGCCAGAGTCTGAGACAAGGATGTAGGGCTGATTCTCCGAGTGGCTGTGGGACAGACCTGTCCAGGGGATGTGCCGTGTCCTCCAGGGAGGGGCTGGGGCACAGCTGGTGGTTCAGGAGGAAGAAACTGGCCTCTGCAGCTGCAGAGCGCTCAGGCCAGGCCCCCTGGGCAGGGCACACTCCCGGGAAAGCACACCATGTGATCTGGGGCAGACGCTGCTGCCGGAGGAGGGAGGACAGCACCCGCTCATGGCCACCACTGGGTGACCAGGTGATCTGAGGCTGAGGGGCCCTCTAGACTCCGGGTGGTGCTCTAACACTCACCATGTGGTCGGGCTGGAATTAGCACCAGGATGAAAATAGTTGGACACAGGGTGGCCCAGCGACACCCTCCAGGTCACACGGGGATTCGTGTTGACCTCAAGCCCGTGTCAGCATGACAACCACAGTTCCCACCATGAGAGTTGACCAAGGGTGTGTGTCACTGCGTGACTGGGAACCCTGTGAGGCGCACACAGGCTGGAGAAGGTGGGACTGAAATGTGCTTGTGCTTGTAGTTTAGTGTTAAACAAATTGTGTGGATACAATCAGGCCTGGCTGAGCAGGAGAGCGGGGACTGGTGCTGGCTGCCTGCAGGGCTGTGTTGGTCAGGGGCGTCTAGCTGCTGTAACAAAGAGCCCTGGAGTCCACCGGCTTCCCACAGTACATTCTTCCTACCCATGTCACAGCACAGAGCAGCTGGGCCTCTGTGGGAGGCTCTGGTCCCCAGCCACTCAGGGTTCTAGGAAAGGGGCGAGTAGAGAGAGCTGTCCCAATAACACCTTTGTGAGAGGTGGGGACACAAGGACGTCCTGGGTACCATAGCCAAGAGAAGTCGAAAAAGGCATTTCTTTCACTGTTGACAACAGGATGTGCCCAGAGACTGCCAGAAATACTTGGGAGTGGAGGAGACTTTTAAGGGATGAAATTCTTGCAATAGCCGGAAGGGAGGGACCCTGGAAGGTGAAGTTAGTACCCTGGCATTGACTCCCATTTTAAGCCTGTGTTGTGATAACCTCATTTATTCATTTTTACTCATACATTCAATTAAAAATATATAATCGACACCTGGCCGGTGTGGGTCAGTGGTTGAGTGTTGACCCAGGACCCAAGAGGTCACCAGTTTGATTCCCGGGCAGGGCACATGCCTGGGTTGCTGGCTCGGTCCCCAGTAGAGGGTGTGCAGGAGGCAGCTGATCGATGATGTTTCTCTCTCATTGATGTTTCTATTTCTCTAGCTCTCTCCCTTCTTCTCTCTCTAAAACTCAACTAAAACATATAAAAATGAAGAAAAACAATGTGTCAGGCACTATTCGAGGCACTGGAGATGCAAGACTGAACAAACAGATAACATTCTTGCCTGTTCCTCCTCCTGGGAGCTGTTTAGGGAGGCAGGTGTCTCTCTAATTGAACTTTGGGCCCCGGGGGCAGGGATCTCACCTAATTCAGATCTATGGCTCTCACAGGACCCTTGAGGGGCTTTGTCCATAGTGTGTGTGCAAGCATACTTCCTGAACCAGGTGGTCTCGATGGATTAATCCTGCTCAGGATATAACAGATCAACATGGGAACATCTTCCAAATGGCACTTTGTGTTTATCCAGTAACAAGCACTACTGAGGCAAAGGATGAACTAAAATTAACTTGCAGGCTTCCCTAAAGCTAGCAAGAAAAAGCCCGGCTTTGGAGACATTTTTGCTATTTTTATGTTAATTTATTTCTAATTGCAAAAATACTTGTATCGGGTATTTTAATGTTACAAGTAAGAGAGAACTTGACTCAAACTGACTTACATGTAAAGGAAATTTTTGGTTCATGGAATTAAAAAGTCCAGAAATAGATCAAGTAGTTGGATGCAAAGCTTGGTCCATAGGCTCACATCGTGTCCCTGGGATCTGGCTTCTCTCCGTGCCTGTTCTCCGATTCCCGGTGTGTCTTCTCCCAGCTCCTGGTGCTCCCCTCTCGGAGTGAAATGGGGGTGGCTGTTCCAGATGTCACCGCTTTCCCCCCACTGTCCAGGCAGAGAGTGGGGTCCTCTGGTAGCTCTGATGACAGAGGAAACGTTTCTTCCCTGAAAACCCTGCAAACATCTCACATTTCATTGGCTCAAAATGGGGTACGCACCCATCCCTGAACCCACCTCTCTGCCAGGGCAGTGGGACGCACTGATTGGCTGACAATAGACAGGGTTCGTCCCTGCAGATGGCTGAAATGAGGGAGGGGCAGTGCCCCCAAAGTCTTGGTACCCACATAGAAGGAAGGGAGTGGGTACTGGAAGGAGACATTGATAACTGTCGTAAGAAATCCAGCCCAGCTGGCATGGCTCAGTGGTTGAGCTTAACCTATGAACTAGGAGGTCACGGTTCGATTCCCAGTCAGGGCACATGCCTGAGTTACAGGCTCAATTCCCAGTGGGGAGCATGCAGGAAGCAGCCAATCAATGATTCTCTCTCATCATTGATGTTTCTCTCTCTCTCTCTCCCTCTCCCTTCCTATCTGAAATCAATAAAAAATATATTAAAAAAAAGAAAAGAAATCCATGCACAAAAGTGGGCAATGGAGAAAGGGAAAGTTGCCTGTAATCCTAATTTCAGAAAGGGACTCTGGTGACTTTTGGCTGCATTCTCTTCCAGGTTTTCCCATGCATATTTCAACACATGTGTTACATACATGTACATTTATTTGTGTGGGAGGCTGAATGCAGCCCCTCCACCCCCAATATGTCTCACTCTAAACCCAGAATTGTGGAGTGTGCTAAACTCTCACTCCTGTAATTTGGTTACTTATATATTACTAGAGGCCCTGTGCATGAATCTGTGCATGGGTGGGGTCCCTCAGCCTGGCCAGCAAATGGGGCGATCAGGGCAGTTGGCTTGGGGGAGGGAGGGACCACGGGAGGTTGGCTATGGGAGTGCACCGACCACCAGGGGGCAGCTCCTGCATTGAGCGTCTGCCCCCTGGTGATCAGTGCGCATCATAGTGAGCGGTCATTTGGTCATTCAGTCATTTGGTCGCTTAGGTTTTTATATATATAGATATGGTACAGTTAACATTAAGACAGAGAAAGGGTATTCATTTGGGCCTAGCATAATATGAATATTAAGAACAGAGAACTCCAAACTGGTAGCAAAAGGGGAAGTCAGAGGGATTCAAAGTGCCATTGCTGGCTTTGAATATGAAGGTGGCCAGGAGCCGAGGAATGCCGGCAGCCTCTAGGAGCTGAGGGTGACTCTGGTGGACAGGCTGCAAGGAAAGAGAGACGTTACTGCTACAATTGCATAGAATGGAATTGCGCCAACACCCTGGATGAGCTTGAAAGTGGATTCTTCTTAGGGCTCCAGATAGGAGCCCAGGCTGGCCCACCAGACTTCAGACCTTCAGAACTGTGAGATGTTAAATGATATTGTTTTAAGCTGCTGAGTTTTTTTGTGACCTGTTATGCAGCAATAGAAATCTAATAAAATGTGTCATCCTTATTTGATTAAGAGGGATTATCTTATGCCCAATGTTCTGCAACTTAGCTCCCTCCCCACTTAGTTTATCTTGAACATCTTCTTAAGTTAGAACATATAACTTTAACTCCTTTTTATGCCTATATAATGTTTCATTTTCTGAGCTACACCATAATTTACTTACCCATTCCCCTGCTGGTGGATTATTTTCAGTTGTTCAGGACTAGGAATGAGACCTCAAAGAATACCTTCCTATGTACGTCTGTGGCGTTCCCTCAGGACTTTTAGGTGAGCTAACTCTGAGAGCCGCTGAAAGGGCCGGCATAATTAAATTCTGGAACACCGCTGGCAGCTCTTAAAGATGCCTGCTGGCCTTCCCTGCCATGAAGGAGAGGCTGCCTTTCTCATCCCTGAAATTGTGAATCGTTTTTTTCTTCCAACTGTAAAATGCATGTAACAAATTTGCTATAGTAACCACTTTTTAAAGTATTTTTATTAATTAATTAATTTATATTTATTTTTTAAGAGAGAGGAAGGGAGAGGGAGAGAGAGAGAGAAGCATCCATGGAAAACATGGATCAGCTGCCTCCTGGACGGCCCCTATTGGGGATTGAGCCTGCAGCCCAGGCATGTGCCCTGACCAGGAATCAAACCAGCAACCTTTCAGTTCAGAGGATGATGACCAACCGACTGAGCCACGCCGGCCAGGGCTGTAGTGAGTGTGCAGTTCAGTGGTATTAAACCTAATCACATTGTTGTGCAGCCATCACCATTCTTGATTTCTAGGCCTTGTTCATCTTCCCAAACGGAAACTCTGTATACCTTCAGCAACACGCCCTGCCTCTATGATTTGGCTGCTACTCTAGGTACTTCACATGCGTGGGGTCACCCAGCATTTGCCTTTT